ATGAAAAAATTGTGTATGTCATAAATTGATAGCTTTTTGGGAAGCACTAGCCCCGTTCGCTCCTTCCCATGGGATTACGCCTTATGCAGTACATACCAGCTTGGCTGAGAAGGGTTTCCGATTCCTGGACGCTCAAAGTAGTGTCATATGGGTATCAGATTCCTCTCCGGTCTCCTCCTCCTCTGGCTCCTCACCCTCCCTCAAGGCGGAGACAATACAACAGGAAGTAGCAAGCCTTATGAAGAAAAGGGTGACACCCCTAGTGGGGAACCCCCGTGTATCACCAGGGTTCTATTCCCGCATCATCCTCCTTCCAAAGAGTTCGGGTGGTGGCGTCCAGTCCTAGACCTCAGTCGGCTGAACGGGTTTGTGGAACTCAAGTGCTTCCGTATGGAAACACCGGCTTCAGTACTTCTGTCAGTGCACTCGGGCAATTGGTTGGCCTTGCTGGATTTGAGCGACGCTTACCTGCACATTCCCATTCACCACTCATGCAGCCGGTATTTCAGACTCTCATTAGAGGGCAAAGTCTACGAGTTTACCGCCCTCCCTGTCGGTCTGTGCACGGCAACTTATGTCTTCACCAGAGTGCTAAGACAGGTGACCGAGCTGCTACACCAGTCATCGGTCTATCTGAACCCATATCCTGACAATTAATACACAACCGAGACAGGGAAGTCTTAGTTGAGCATGTGCGGTTGATGCAGACGCTCCTACACGAGTTGGGCTTTTTTATAAAATATTGCCAAGTCCAATACCGTCCCACAGCCTGGTTTTTCTGGCTATGCAGTTCGACACATAGCAAGGGCGTGTTCGCCCTTTGCTGGAGCGATGCGGCTCGCTGGTAGAGCTCCAACTTCTGGGGATACACAACAGCGGCGGACGCCCTCTCAAGACGTATTCGGTTCCAGAACACCGAGTTGCAGACCCCCCCCAATGGGTGGCAGACCGGCCGTTTTTGTCTCTGGGACAGGCCCCAGATAGTTGTTTGCAAATCACTGGCATGCCAAGCTCCCGGCGTACGT